GATCTTCATGCATGCACTAAATCGTAATTCTAGCCCAGGGCTACTTTAGATAGGGTGGCTACTTTAGATACAACAATTCACGTGATGTGATAATCATTGGGTTCCTTGTTCTTCAAGTGTCCCGTTTTTTTTATATGTTGCACACCGGGTGAAGGATCAATCGTGTAACATCGACGGTCGCTCCAATAATTCACTACAAGGTCTTCTTCAGAAGCTGCGAATACATAATTTCTTATGTAAGAATCAAAATCTTTACAGTTTTAATTGTTTATAATTTTAAAAACAATTATCTACAATTATCTACTAAATAGATTCGGAATTAACTTTATGATAAATCGATTTGGAAATAACTTTTGTTGATTCGAAATTCTCTAACCTAGGAGGATTAGTAGAAATTTAAATTTAGTGAGATTATACTTCTACATTATAGAAATATTAAAATGATTTTGATTTTGTTATCGTTATAAAAAATTGGTTATTTATTAAATAATGTAGCAAGGAATATTATACTTCGAATGGATTTTATAATAACTCGCGTTTATCTATAAATACAAGCTTATTAATTAAAACCAACCAATTAAAACCAACGAATTTTGTTAATTTTATCATATGCAGCTTTTGCAAACCACTCAAACGCTTTCTCTTCATCCATAGGAATACCAATTCCTTCTTTATAACATTGCCCAAGACTTGTTTGTCCTTCAATACTACCACCTTCAGCCGATTTTGAATACCATTTAAACGCTTTTTGTTCATCTTTAGTGATACATCTACCATTTTGATAACACCATCCAAGTGTACACTGTCCAACAATGCCTCCTCCTTCAGCTGACTTCATAAACCATTCAAACGCTTTTTTTCGATCTCTTCCGATGCCAACTCCTTCATAATAACACCATCCAAGGTTAACTTGTCCATAAGAATTATCGTTTTTTGCAGATTTCAAATAACATTCGAATGCTTTTTTTTCATCTCTAATAACTCCTAAACCATGTTGATAACACCATCCAAGATTATTATAACCATCTGAATTACCACTTTTGGCCGAAATTAAACATAATTCAAATGCCTTATTTTCGTCTTTACCAATTCCTTTACCATCTAAATAACAACATGCAAGATTATTTTGTCCACTAGAATTACCTCCGTCTGCCGATTTTAAATACCATTCAATTGCTTTGTCAAAATCTCTATTAATACCTATACCATGTTGATAACAAAACGCAAGATTATTTTGATCGATAAGATTACCACTTTTTGCTGATTTTAAATGCCATTCAAGTGCCATCTTATTATCATTTTCAATTCCTATATAGTTTCTATAACAACGTAAAAAATAATTTTGCGTAATAGATATATCTGCTCTGAAAAATGATTTTGAATATAATTCAAATGCTTTCTTTTTATCTTTTTTAACTCCTATACCAGTTTCATAACAATATCCAAGATTTGCTTGTCCATTTAAATCGCCTCCTTCTGTTGATTTTAAATAATATTCAAATGCCTTTTTTTCATCTTTATCAACGCTTATTCCATGTTGATAACATCGTCCAAGACCAAATTGACCAAGCGGTGTTCCATTATTGGCTGATTTCATATACCATTTAAATGCTTCATTATTATCTTTTTCTACACCATAACCTTCCTCAAAACATTTTCCAACAAAATATTGCGCTAATCCATAATCATTTTCTGCTGCTTCATTATATAAAATAAATGCTTTTTGCATATCTTCTATAACTCCAAATCCATAAAAATATAAATGAGCTAAAGAAATTTTTCCTATATTCCAATTATTTTTAATTAAATAATTTAAATTTGTTAAATTTAAATTAATATCTAAATCATTATTTGTTAAATTTGGTTTTTGATTTAAAGATTGTTCATAATATATATTTGCTAATTTATAACTAATATTTGTACCAATTCCAAATTGATAAAAATATCCAATCATACTTGTAAAATAATTTTGCTTTCGATGATGAATTAATTGATTAAAAATTTCAAATGGTTTCTCATTATTATCCTTAAAATATTGTCTTAATAGATTAACTAAATAGACGGGTTCATAATGTTTATTATATATTTTAATAAAATATTTAAATAATTTCAACATAAATTCATCATCGGATGAATCTTCTATAAAGATAAGATGTAATTTGCAAGATTCGAATAAAGATTTTGATGCTTTCAATATATAAAAAAAAAAAAGTTTATGTTAAAAAAATTTTTTTTGACTTAGTTAATGCATATAATTTTAATTTAATTTGTTAATGAAAAAAAATACCTTCTTGAATCTCTTCTTCAGATTTTTGATGAATCTCTTCCTCAGATTTTTGATGAATCTCTTCCTCAGATTTTTGATGAATCTCTTCCTCAAATTTTTGATGAACCTCTTCAGATTTCTGAATCTCTTCAGATTTTTGAATTTCTCCTTCAGACTCTACCTTTGATTCAATTTTTGTATCATTGACCTTTTCTTGATCGTTAAATGCATGTTCGTAATCTTTTATTAAGTTGTTATTTAAATCTTTAATTTCATTATTTGCCATTTTAGCCTTTTAATTTCAAGTTATTTCAAGAATATAAATTTACGTAATAAATTTATCTAATATGTGTGTCGCAGATTATAGATTAATGTTATTTTTTGCGGAACAGATTACAACATTTTTACGATTGTAACATTATATAATAGACCGGATATGCAATTGTAACACGTTATACAAAAAAATTTACAATATTTCGTAAAATGAGTAAATTTTTTTATTAATTAGTATTTAACTTCATATAGAAATATCAGGTATGTCAAATGTGTCAGATTTTATGTAGTATGACGCTAACCACGCTAAAAGACAAAGTTTTTTTTTTATTTATCAAATTGTAAAAAAAATTTTCTTTATTAGAGTTTAATAATAGATATTTTCTTATTGGATAATTAAACCTCCGATTGTAACGGTAATAATAAACTGTATTAGATGCATCATGGTAAAATCAATTGTGGTTGATTGAACTGGTCTCGTACATTTGATATACTGTAAACGTAATGAAAGTGCACATTAACACAACATTTTAGACGAATCAATAAAATTAAATGCAATTGTGACACAAATTACACAAATTAGCACATACCTACGTACTTTTTTTGGACTTGAAGTGCTGGCGTAGTGTCGTCGTCTAAAACGTACGTACGCACCTTGGCTCAATATTGTGTTTGGATACATACAATGTTGGTATATATCGAATATATGTAACGATATACGATATAATGCTACCAAGGAAAACCCAGAAGTACAAATTAAACTCTGAAAATTTAATATGATCAGTATCATATTTGTGTAGCACATGACAAGAACACTAACTTTTCATAGAATTGTATTTATTGGTTTTCTCTTGACAACAATCATATAGACAAACTCACATTAACCGTACAATTTATGTTCAAATCAGTCGCATGATTATGGTAAACATACACAGAATACACATCGATCATAACACTATTATTCCTGGTACGTACATGTTTGTGAATCATTTGATCCTCTGATTTAGCTAAATTAATTATATTTACTACCTGTAGTACTTCGTAAGTACGTACGTACCTACGCTAATCATCAGACTGATGAAAATGAGATAACGCATACATCTGATTAGGATGTCCACTCATGTACGTACGTACGTATGTGACCAAATAGACAAGTAGGAAACTAAACGTCTACATCATGCAGCCGAACAGACAAGTGCGTTACTTTTCCAACAATGGTAAAATAAGTGATTTTAAATACATTGAATTTAAATACATTGAAACCAGGAAATACAGTAGAATAATGTTTACCATCAGTCGCCATCAATCGGTAAAAGATATGTGGATTCAATATTGACGATATTTAGATATTAGTAAAAAGAAAAAAATAACAATAATTTGTCTAGTTTATAATTATCTTAAACATAATTTCAAACTGTCATTCATCATTGTTAAAGTTCTATAATATTCATCATAACTTTGCTGATGATAGATCCATAATGCCGGCTTTAATCTTTTGCTATGATATGGAGGTCTATTAATCAGAAAATAGTAAATTTTTCATTGGAGTAATTGATAAAAAAAATATATTTGTTAACAAAAGAAATTATTAATTATTTACCTTTTTTTATATTCATTTTCGATATATGTCATCTGACATAAAGTATATACAATTCTATGTTCAAGACCTTTTCTGCGACTTGATGTTTTTAAAAATTCTATTGTATTTTCGGCTTTTTTATTTTTTTTATTTTTTATTTTTTTTTTTTAGAATGAGAAATTGATGTTGTAATAATAAAATAAAAATATAATCAATACCACGTTCAAAAAGATCATTCAAAATTCTTTGATCAACTTCATGTCGATACTCTTCAAATCCTTCACGAATTCTTTGATGTACATATTTAACTGCTGGACGTGAATATAAAACTGAAGCTCCACCCGCTCTCCATAATCGACGATAGAATGAACGTGCTAGAAATGAAATCTGATTTGGTGTTTTTGATTTTGTAGCCATAATTGTTGAACTAAATTGTAAAGATTGATGGTTGATACGTTAAAAGATTGACGAATTTTTTTTGTCTTATGACTTTGTTACACAATTCGATGTCACGTTTACGATGCACGCTTTTATGATGTTGCTAACTTTAGATTATGCAGATTGAATGCTACCCTTACAATTTATACATCAAGGTGAGGAAAATTATATTACTTTTATTTATGAGATTAAGATTCTCTAACGCCCCTAGCTGTCCCAAAAAATTGGTCATCCCCTGCAGGGCCAATGATTTTCTGCGTGGTCAAGACTAAATTCTGCGTATGGTTACGATAAATTCTGTGATTTAATGTGGTAAAATTTTGTCCAATTCTGTATAAATTCTTTGCGATTCTGTGGTACCATATTGTAATTTTAATTTCTGTGATCTAATGCGTTTATAAATTTTTACAAAACAACTATTACCGGTGAACACGCTCGTAATTTACGCTGATTTATTGTCTACCTTTACGGCATTTCCCGACGCCAGCTTGAATTTATAGTCAGATCCTGCGATATATTATAAATTCTGTGATATTCTGCGGTGACTAAGGGTGATTTCTTTGGTTGACTGCGATTAAGAGAAATTCTGCTGTTTTCCGTGAATCACAGAAAATCATCGGCTCAGCATGTGTTATTTTCAATTGAAAATAACAAGTCATTTTTAATGCAATTATTATTAAATTATTTATACTACTTATCGCCACGATAAATCAGATAAATCAGTACGTAATGAAATAAAAATAATCAAATTTTGACTTAATGGAATAAATAAATTTATCACAACTTCTTCAACAATAACCATGAAACCACAAAGTTATAATTTTCTGAATCTTTTAATTGAATCTTGGAAGTCTACGTTACCAAAAAAATGAATAATCGCTATTTAATGGATAAAAATCACTATTATGAACGTTTGAACGTATTAAAAAGCATACTTTTATACTAGTACAACTGAAGAATTTCATTTAATTAAACAAGCTGGAATAATTTAAGCAGTGTCGTTCCGGACACCTGTCTATTGACATGTGGACATGAACATGGTCTCTCTATAGTCTCTCTATGTCCATGGGCAGTCTCCATGTCCATGTCCAGGAACAATACTTGAAATTTATGTTCTCATGAGAACAAGTTTATTTAATTTAATGTTCTCAGAAATTTATTTATGTTTTCCGCAGTAAAATTTTATTAGCTGCAGATTTTCGATTTTGATTGGCTAAGAGCGATGATCAGAAAATTAGGCCGGAATTATTCGGAATGAAAATTGTTCTTGGGCCAAATTTTTAAAGAAAAAATTAAAAAGTTAATTCCGGCCAGAAATTAGTAAACAATTATGTAATGCGGGCCAAAATTTTGAAGAT